GGTTGCGTCTGTCTATCTTCTTACTTGCATGCAAATTCGATGACATGGGCAAGCACGAGTAAGGGGGTTGACCCTGGACGGCACCGGGGACGACAGGGTCTATGTAACACTATGGTCGTCTGTTTCACTTTTCGTTTTGTTTTACGGGCACCGCATTCCCTGCAGATTGCACTTTCGCTGGGTGGTCTGGCCTCTGCGCCACGTCAGGGACCTTCCAGTCCTTCTACACATTGGCAGCACGCTTCCTCGCCTACTATTGAGACCTCCGTCGTCTTCAGGAAAGATTGAGGATGTTGTAATAGGTTGGAAGTGCTAGAGCAGTTTGGAGTAAATAGGATCGCATTCCATAACCTAATTTCGACACTACTTTAATCCACTTTGTTTGGGTGAGGATTAAGCGTGGACCAACAAAGCTAAACTTATTTGCTAACCACCGGACGTCCCACAGAGTGATGACAATGGACTTCTTAAAACTGAGTTTTAGAAGTCAAGTTTATTTGTTTATCCTGGAGAAAGTAGTCTACATAATTGCGGGATGGAGACAAAGACCTTTGTGCTCTTGCAGCACTCCTGCTTCAGCCTATCGCACCACCCCTGGTGGCACTGACATACTCCCAATTCTCCACATCACTTTGTTAAATCTGGTCAGGGAAGGTGAAGAAGATGAGCAGGCAAACTTTGACATCGCATAGCTAAGACCTCAACCAATTTTAGTTGGATGTTATTGTTATGCTGTGGGGGAAGAAACCGTGGGTCTACTTCTTACCTCAAAGTGCCAGATTTGTACATAAAAGACTAGTGAATACAAAGGAATGTGGTGACCGAGACATCTGCAATTAGTGGTAGAGTATGTAGGCAGCCATTGGCTTATGACCAACGCTTTTCCAGCACACGTACAGTCGCCGTTACATATGGAGTGACCGAAACAAGTTTTGTAAAGATATCAACATGCCAAAATGTAAATGACATTAGTTAGAGTAGTGACACTGACTACAGTCTACCCTTTCATCCCTTTCCACGAAAACATTAATTGGTTACAAATTTTAATAATTTATGCCCGAAGTGAACAGTCTCCACCAAATTACTAACAATGTTGCCCCACTTTTCTTTTTCGGAGTCCATTGCAATGAGAGGTGGCCAACCCGTGGCAGCCTCGGTGTAAGGCATGACATCCCTACCACCAATTCAGTAGTCCCAGTTGTTCCTAATGCAGCATGCCTCGTCTGCTCTCCATCTTCTTCCTACATATATAGACCTAAATTATACTCCGACATCATATAACCCAAAAGCGTTTTAACGTAGGTGAACAATGCCCCTTCCCGCATATTTATTATGTGAAAGGAACTCTGACGTACTACTGGATGGCAATAATATGAGAACAATGCAGTGAGGAGAAATGAGCGCCAAGTATTTGCTCCATGAAGTTGCCCTCCATTATTTGTTTACTGGCTACGAACTTCGCTTTGTCACACCTATTTCCCCGATTAGCAGCAATCCCTTGACGGTTGGAAGAAAAAAGGATAACCCACATTACACATTAGAGGGAAACGCCACTCCAGACCCCACAGGGTCAGGGAAATGCTTACCGACTTCGGAACCGGGCATTTTTCCAAACACGTTCTTAAATGCTCCGGTTTCCTAATCTCTCACTGGCTCTCCGTTTCTGAAAGGCAACAATAAGCATTTGTTGCACTTTGATATGCCCTACAACGACTACATAGAAGACTAGAACTGATACATGCCCTCCGTACGATTGCACAAGGCACAAAAAAATGTACGCTTTTGCGCAACAAATATATAAATATGTTGAGGAAGAAAAATTGATATATTGCCTGCTGTTTGGGCATAAATACCAGACCCCCGCAAATTTCACCTCTTTAAAAACGTGATGAAACCGGGATCGCTTCATCTAACACTTATTTTCGTCCTTTTATGTGAGATTTAGCCCATTTAAACAAATTGTAGATATACATTGTTCTCACTAAATGATAATTATTTTAGACGGTAGGCTTTTATGGCTTTTAATTTAGTTTTGGAAAAATTGGCTTCATTTTTAGCAAATATTGGATTTGATTCGTGGGAACCTAAAGCTTAATGCGTTTATTATAATATTTTATTTTTAATTTTGCTGCAGGAAAGAGTAATTACTGCAGGCAGTGTGGCGTAGATAACGTTTAGAAAAGTAAAGCTAGCCGTGAGCAGAATTTTGCCTCTTGTGGTCGTAATGATCTAAAAATTGACTAGAAAGCCATCTCACCAAAGTTGAGGAGACTTATTTGCTTTCTTTTAAACTCTACATCAAAACACCAGTCAAATTCATACATGCCTGCATGATGTGCATGAATTTTTAAAAAAATTTTATGCATTTAGGCCTCTTTCGTGTAGAAAAAATCAGCCCAGGGAGCTGACAATCCACATTGAAGCGTAGATTTTTAATGTACTTACAACTTTAATAAGCTTTTTTGGACAAGTAATATTACAAAAATTCATGTTTGAGTCCCTTAGATGGGCAGGTTGTAAGGCTTTTCGTGCATTTAGAGTGTAGGCGTATCTAATCTCATTGATATTGATAAGAGCCAATAATGCAGGTCCAATTTCAAATGACCGATCATCATGGAGCCTGTTCAATCCGAATTCACGACAGCATATGTTTCTTTAAAGAGCACATGCATTTAAAATTAAAAGATTTTTAAGTGTTTGCAAATAAATTCCATGATATTCTTTTTAGATCTTGGAGAGTGTTGTCTTCCACAGGAGTCATCGTGCTTCGACCATTTGGAAAATTGTGGCATGTTTGGAGGACTACGCTGTTGTCGACCGATGTACTGTTTGGCCAAATGGGGCAACAAAATTGGCAAATGCCGTCACCCGAATGAAAACATTTTTTGAAATGTCCAACAGCCTGCGTATTTATAGCCCCACTTTTCACAATAGTTTATGAAAATACATTAGAAGAGTTGTCAAAATGCTCACGGAATGCAATGTTTGTGTGATCAGAGACCAGTCACCTTTCCAGTCAGAGAAAACCAGGAGTCTTTCCTACCGACATTTAGGGGACACCTGAGATAGGGCGTGTGAATATGCGCGTTCAGGTGCATGGGAAGCCAGATTCTTAAGGCAAGTGCACCTGCCTCTGAAGGCCTGCAGTACTAATACTCCCAAGGTGCCTGCAGATGATTCCAACTTCCGATTATTTACACATTCCTAAATTAATTTCAAGAGAGTAGGCATATTTAAAAGCACAAAACGCAGCTTTTTGGTATACTGACCAATCAGGAGAAAGGGGGAGGCGGAGAGGAGCACTGCTTTATGGAATCTCGCAAAGAAAATATCCTTCTAAAGTGAAATGGAGTGAATGACTACGAAATGGGCGGATAATTCGCATTGCCTTTTTTGTTTACATTAGAACTCAAAAAAGCTCAGATCACAGCACTCAACTAAAAATACAGTGGAAGAGTATACTACTTACTAACTATTAGTAGGGCTGGGTGATTAGACCGCCAAGTCAAAACACAACTTGAGGAGATTAAAATCCCCACGTCTTTCAACACACCATTAAAAATAACTTATTTATACGATATTATGAAGGTCTCATTCCGGTTTTTTTTGGACAGACGAGCAGCATTATATGCTTTTGTAAAGGGTATAATTTATGGGCAGTGTTGCTTGAATCAATGTGTGTGGCCACTTTGTTATCGCGGTGAGATCTCTCTGCGATAATTAGTTAAATTTAGAATAAGGTTCTTCTTGCAAAATTGTTGCCTCTGCATGAATTGAGAAGTCGGGGGAAATTCACATCACTCGTGTGCCGGATGCCTGTCGGCCTGGACGACCATCCAGTAGCAGTCATGAATATGAAAGAATGAATAAGACACGATTGGATTGAATCACAAATTTAAAAATCACAATAAGGTAATAAGAAAAGGAAGAACACTTCTCAGACAGTAAAATCGGTTTGTACATGTGTCTAACTGACAGTGGGAGCTTGGTTGCGAAAACATGGATATTAGAAGCACAAATAGTCAAATATATATGTACATATACGTCAATTTTCGAGACTTAAATGCATTTCTTTTATTCTGGAATACTACCCTGTTTAACTTTATTTTTAAATTTTTGCGCACAGCTCTAAAAGCATTTCTGATGTTTCAGAATTCTGATCAAATTGGTGTCATAGAACCCGGTAGAAAGTAACATTTTTTTAGGTTAATTCTCAAAATTTTAAAAGATAATGCGTTTTTTAATATTTAGCTTTTCTTTTACTTTGTGCCATAAAAATTAAACGTCTTCAAATGTAAGAAAATCGATATTTTGCAGTGGACCAATAGCATTTTGGCGAGGATCTACCAATCAGCTGTGTAAGTTGAAAAACGCAGCCTCAACTCTTTGCATTCACTTCGAATAATGAAATATCTTGCGAATTTGTGGAAAAAGCATGAACGAGAAAATGAACAGTCGATTGGTGAAGGTGGAGGTGAAAATGAAAGTCAAATGTCTGTTAGAAAGTCGTCCTCTTCGATGCATGGATTATTTACTATCATCAGTCGTTTGAAAGGTGAATATCTTGTTGCTTTAATTGTGAAATAAATGCAGCATTTAAATCCATCACAAAATGACCTGCAAAGTCAAAATTTTAAGTTGAAAACTTAAAAATCTACATCTCTAAATTCTTGAGTTACCTTCATCATGCAGAAATGCTTTCCCATTAAGGTTCACTTACCACTTGGTTTTCAAGTTAATATCAGGTAAACCGCCCTTAATTTCGGTGTTTTTAAATTATTCTAAAAATAAAAACGACCAAAGATTTTGAAATTCCTGAGCATACTTTAATCCATAACGATAAAATTTAGGCTTATTTGTTAATCGGATATGCTGGCAATCCTTGTTCTAACACGTCTCTTTATTCTTTTATAATTTTTTTCTGGACAACAAAAAATACGTTTAATTGCCGCAGGCAGGGGGGTTAACTTTCACTTGACGACAATAAGACGACCACGAGACACCGATCAGTTTGGACAGCATTTTATGCAAGAGGCTTTTACACGACGGCGTGTAGAACGGGGTTAACTAGTTCCTGCTAAAGTATGACATAGAAAGACCCAATAGTAGAACGACCTTATCATGTCAAAACGGTCTGCTACGCTGCCTTAATCAATTAGGTACGGTGGTTCCATAAAACCGCAAATTGTCCCTGCCCACTGTGCTCATGGTTCTCAATGCAAAATTCAGTTTTGTTGCGTGGCAGGTTATGTGCTGATCTAGGGTCCAGTACCTGGCAGGTGGTCTACATTCATGGGAACGGGTAGGACTGCCACTGACAAGTAAACACAAGACACCCTTTCTAGCGTTTAAGTGACTTAAATTCCTTTTTTTAACCGCCTCAGCATTTCACCATCGTAAAGAATGATTTTTTAACGTTTGCATTAAAATTAGCCACTTATAAAGTTTTCCAGACCTACTTTTGGTAAAAAAGATTTTTTGGTTTACTTCGCGCTTTCATCCCACAGGAACCGAAACTGACGGTCACCTAGCAAGGTGGCGTGAAGATTGGATTGAGGACAAAGATGTGACAAATGAAGAAGAAGTTAGTAATTATCAATGTTTGAGTAATCAAATAAAACACGGTTACTCGATTTTCCTTCTATGGTTCAAAAGAAACGTCAGCTTCATTCGCGTGTTCATCATACTGGGTGATGTGATCACATTTGTGAGTGATTTTCAACTTTAAAACAGAATTGTTACTCGCAACAATAAAGTAGGCATCGTGTTTTGACTGCAGTGTATATTCCTCTGGGTATTGGTCTTCGCGACGTACCTCCTCACCGATCCTGCCATCGAAAAACAACATATAATCGGTATTATAAGTAACGACACTATGCCATATCCTCCAGAACCCGAATTCGATATCCAAGAATACGTCTCCAAAATTGTTGCTTATCATCGTGAGGCCACGGCCAGTTTTTGCTACTTATGTATAACTTGGAAGAAGCAATTAATTTTACTACCTTATATTTTAATGTTTTTAAGTAAATTTATCCCTAAATTGATGCCTGGTTTTGTTTTGTAAACTTAGTAATTCCATAAATTGGTGTAAGGAGCACATACCATATTTCAAATTACTGCCAAATTTAGGTCCGTTCTCAAGAGCTGCGGCCATCATCTCATTTTTTGTCTGCTTCACCACTCTAATTTCAACAATAGGTGCAGCCGTATCCCATGGCTACTCTTCTATAACTGTAAGTCAATAAATCATCTTCGTACTTTGTTAATGTTAGATTTTAAATGCTGTAAATTGTCAGACAATTTTGGCAGTCAAACGTTCTGTTTTTTATAGTAATTTTGGCACAAATAGGATGCCTGCTTTTCTTGTCGCGAAACGCAAATTTAGTAAGTACATTTGTAACCATAAGAAGCAACATTGTCAACATAAAACCGGTTTCACTCACTCAGAAGTATTTCAACTCAGGTGTCTGATTACATCGTCAAAATGCTAGAAGGCACTTTCGACCAGTACAGATCAACAGCGGACAAGAAGATTCATTACCTCTGGGATACCATTATGGGAATGGTATTTGTTCTAAACAAACGCGTTAATTTCACTGGTTACTTTCGATTTTTCTTTTAGTTTCATTGCTGTGGACTCAACAATGGTCACGATTTTCCTGAAGGACTACGTAAGAGCGCTTGTAAAAAATTGGTTTTTGTTTTAGGAAAAGGTATACATGATGTGCTTATCCCATCGTTTTCATTTTAGACAAATAAGATATTGAACTTGTCTCCAAAAATTATTCATATCAGCTTCAATTTGGCTTTAAAAGGCTTAAAAGCGAAATTAGGCAGAAGTTGACAAGCAATACTCAGCACTTTATTTGAGTACAATCAAATTGTCAAGCACTTAAACAAACTTTGCTATGGTTTTCAAAGTTGTTCTTACTTAAAATCAACACAATGCTACCGCTGAAAACATTGACCTGAATAATTTTGTGGAATCAATTACATTTCGTAGAGTATTTTTCTTTTACATTTTATTCCTCTTTAGCTGACGCCTGTTGCTTACGAACAACGACAGGAGAGAAATTCGATCCCTACTGCAACCTTTATCCAGGTCCCTTGAATAGCTTCTTCTATACCGGCTGCAGAAAGGATGTTCAAAAAACGATAGGAGATGTCAGAGATCAACTCACAATATCCATGATTCTCCTCCTCCTGCTTCAGGTAAAGTAACGTAAAATGACTAACTGCCAGTATTCTGGTCATTTCAAGCAAGTATTTCACTGACTGTGTCTATTTGCGATTGCTGAAATGCGATTATTTTTTTGTTTTCACCTTTTAACTTAGCTTTGGCCCTTTCTATTGATGACCTTCCTTCTGCAATCTGGAGGAATAGTTGTACGTCACTCCCAGGCATCCAACTTATAAATGGACTTATAATTTCAAAATTGGATGAAAATAAAAAAAATTTCCAAAAATTCGCCGAGTTTATTTTTAAAGAGAAAAGGCATGAAAAGCTATTTATTGAGATTAAAAGCATCAATTAATCTATAGGTGTTGGTTTAGTAATTAGAGTACGCAGTGTGGTCTTAGAGGCCATAGACACCTTCAAAAGCACAAATTGCGGAGGCTGAAGAGCTGGAGTGATGAAATTGCAAAATTCCTTTTTTGAGCATCCTCTTTCTTCACGTTGGCCAATACAGTACCGTCAAGACCTTGGAAAACACTCATGAGTCAGCAACAGGCGTCAATAAATTTGTGTGGGGGCGTGAAGACCTTTGATCCCATCTCGTCTACTCTATCGTGGGTGGGTCCTAAATCTCTTTGTAAACCACACTTTTTTTGGCGCTTAGGGCTAAACGATGTCTTACGACAGGTGTGTTCTATATGCCGGTGGTTTTTTTCCAAGAAGATTGCTTAGAAGGGTTGCCAAAACTACTACTTTGCACCCATTTCACCTTGCCGCCCTATTCACACTTTAAGGTAGTCAAGCATTCACTCTGACTTTCCCTTGCCTTCATTCACACCATTTGCATGTCTTCACAGGAATTTTTGCCATTTAACTTCTTCAGACATTGCATGCTTGCTCACCTCTTCACAGATTACGAGGCTGAGGTGCTTGCCAAATACAAATGTGGTTCTCATAATCCTTCTCTTGTAGGTACCCACACATCCAGATCTAACTTTTCTCTGTGTAATTTAAATTTCTTCATTTTAACTTTTTCTAGACCACATTTGCCTACCGGTCTCCCCGGCATCTGCGCGGGCTAAGGGTCACTAGCCAGTGGTCTGCCATTTATGCCGAACAGTAGAGAGTTGAGAACCAATGTTTTTGCGTCTTCATCATTCCCTCACAAAGCACAAAAGTGCTTGTGTTAAATAAATTCAATTTTAGGCAAATTTATGAGAAGTCCCCTCCGAATTTGCACAAACCGTGATATTTACACCTGAATACTAACGGTTATGTAAAAATTTTTCTCATCGGTTATAGCAGTTCTTGGAGAAGATCAATGCTAACGCAAACGACCTTTTTACCCGTTTCATTCATCACTAGAGCATTTTCAACAATTCCCAAGAAAGGGCATGCAAATTTTTAGGTTACCAGTAACATAGCACACTTGACAAGGATTTGCTCTAAATGAAAGTTTATTTTTGCCTAATTTTGTGTCTAAGTGAGAGGAGAAAAATGGACTTACGCAGACAGAACTACTCACTGCTTCTGGAGTATTTTACATCCAGTCGAATATTTACAATAAGCACTCAGTAGTTGTACGACATTAAGAGACGCAATCCGAGCCTAAGACACTCCAGCCTAAACAATTTCGTGTGGACTCACAAAACAATACGTTTCTAGGCTATAAGGTAGCTTAAAGTTGCGCAAGAGACACCGTTGCTAGGCGACACCGTATGCTTTCATACCTCCGTTATGCACGTGTGGGTGAAGTGGAGATTTGGAATGTAATTCACTTAAGTATCGTGAGTGTTTAAAAATCGCTTGTCAATTCCACTAAGATACAACGTCCTCTGCTTCGAGTTTGGTGAGAAAAACTGTATTAGTGGTGAGGAAGGCGCAGTTTTAGTGGGTGGGGAATTGTGACAGTAATGTGTATTTACTTCAAATCGACATATATAGTTATTAAAATAATCACCTAATCAAGTCATAATTCCTAATCAATCAGGATAAAACTAGCCCTAATTTCTTCATTCATAAAATGCTTTTTCTTGGCAAGTGACTACTTAAGTCTGGCTCTAGACACAGCCGTATGCACATACAAGTGGGTGTTGCTAAGAGAAATGACCATCACCACCAAAAAAACTATCATCACGAGGCTGCGGAGGAGGCGGTATCGTGCTTCCATTTCTTTAAGGCGCTGTGTAAAACCTCCTCGTGGATAATTTTTACGGTGGTACGAAGCACGTGATCTCCAGTAACCCCGAAATAAGAAGTGAAGGACCCCAAGTTTTATTTTGGGGCTGGATTAAATCTGACTAGTAAAGCACTTTCCAGTTTGGCCTACCGTTGTGCCGTGTAAAGGATCGAGTTAACAGAAAGAGAGTAGAGGGCGCCAATCTGACAGATCGACGGAAAGCTGTGCTTTGCAGCACATAAACGATCGTGTGCCAGATACAACAATTAGGCAGAAAGTTGCTCAAGGCTATTTAGTTGTCACAGCACTTGAAAATCTCTCAAGCATACAATCAATCAGTCAAAATCGTGAGAATATTCGTGTTATTTTCTGTTAAGACAGTAGCAAAATGTGAAGGATAAATGTGAATCGCTCCCTGAAACGACACATTAAATGACTTCGGTTTTAAGGAACCGCCTCCGTTAAGCGTCAGCTTACTTTATTCAGGACAGAGTTAGGCAAAGAAACTGCCAGTCACAGATAGAGGGGATCCAAAGCTTTCCAATCTTAAGGGGGAATTGATGTATGACATTTGCTCCTCACTCATCGGTGGTAGTTTTAAAGCCTCTAATGGGTTATGCTGAGTGCTGAGGCGTGGAAGATACTAGGTATTTATTTACACGAACTCTTCAGTCTCAATGGTCGTCTGAAGGTCGTGGAGTTACGACTCTACCATCTTCTTTAGCAGCTAATCAGCACAACGCCAGTTCATCAGAACCCATCCATCATATTATTAATAAAAGGGAGAAAATTAGCTGCCATAACTACTTACTTATAGCTCACTGCTTAAGTAGTAAGGAAATAGGAGCTGGGATTACAAAGTAGAATTAAATTATTTCAATTCTTTGCCAGAATAAGATGTTGAGTAGGTGAGCAGTCATTCAGAGACTAGACTAAAACCCCCTACAAACACGGTACTTCGATAATGATGATACCGAGTTTTGAGCGCCAACATTGAAGGTTAAGTGCTCTGCCTTTGAGACGAATTTACTACCTCAAATAGGTGTGGTTAGGCATTTGCCGCCCTCTCTTTTACCTGCTTTAAGACTGGTATGCACTTACAGTCCATTATGAAATTTTGTGCTTCTTTCTCCTCCTTCTTTAAGTTCTTTCCTTCTTTCACATTTCCTTCTTCTTCTTGCTCTTTCTCAACTTTACGCACATTGATCAGCTTGGTGCAACCAAATACGCAACTGCACCTACGCTTTGGTGCTCGCCGACTCCTCGAGTGACCTTGAAGGTAGGTTACTGCAGAGGTGGGTTAATTAGCCTCTAGTTTTACCGTCACCCAATTTTACAACGTCCTTTTAAGTAAATTGTTAATTTTTTTTCTCTCACTCATAGGAAACGTTACCCTTTTCCTTTAAGATGGCAAGACTAAGAGTGTTGCATGCGAAGATTTACCAGGGGATAAGTAGGAGGCTACTAGTGGGACCTTAGTTAAATCTATAAACTCGAAAATTACGTCCCTTAGTCTTTTAAACAAATGAGGCGACTTACTCTACGTGGATGAGGCTTGGTAGTTTACAGGCCATCTTTCATCATTATTCACCACAAATAGCTTAACTGTGATGAGATAGCAGACTTCTCTCTCACATTTTCGTTCTTCAAAAATCTTTTTTAATATCGTCAATCATAAGCCTATAGATTATAAATGGGGTCCTTAAAATTAACAAAAAACCAATGTAGGGTACTTGATCACACCCTAATGCAGTGTTTTTCCATCTTCTCTCACGCCGAAGATCTACAGTTCTAATCCAATTACTTAGGATGACATATCATTGCAAGGTTTAATCTGATGTAATGAAACATGGTGGATTTTACTGTACACTTTTTTTAATATCTTCGCCTTGTTTAAAAAAAGTGGTCTCGAACCAGGCAAAAAACCCCCCTCCCCCACCTCGATAATGACGATTACAACGCACTCGCCTAATTTTCAGGTTTGACAGGCAGTGGATATGTTGCACAACCAAAATAGCGACTAATGTCATGCAAAAGTTGCCTAGCAATACGGAAACAATGCTATAACCTTAGCAACGAGCACCATTGTCGTGTTCTACGGGAAGTTCATTTTTTGAGGGAACTAAGGGGGTTTAAGAACAGCACCCATTATAAGCGAGGCGGTTAAAAGGGCTTCCTTTGCAAGGCACAAAGAGGTTTTTCAGTGGTGCGAAGTAGTCAAAGGCTTTAAAAAGGTGTTGAATCAGTGTCAAACTCCACAAGAGCACAAAGGAATGAGATAGGAGTTGGAAGAAAGGCATAATTAAGGAAAGGTGAAGGAATGGTTAAGTTTACACATGTGTAGACAAAGATAGGGATGGAAGGATGAGTAATTGGAGAAAGAAATAAGAGAGTGGAGTGTGAATGTGAAGGGATTTGAAAAGGACCTTGGTAAATGGGTGGTTAGAAAGCGAAATGAATTGTAAAGTTAGATTTAATAGAAGGATGGATAAGGAGAGGGGTAGATGGTAGGCGAGAGTCAACTCTACGATAATGAAAAGCACATTTTTTTCTTCTACCGCTTCTAACCTGTGCAGAGAAGTGTAGAGTACGCCACCACCCAACTAGTGGGGTGACGCAAGTTTTATAAATGAATTACCACACAAGTTTTCTACTGACGTCCTTACATTGCCTTGCTGTAGAAAGCGCAACAAATTCTCGCATTTTTTTTCTAGTGTGGTACAATGCACATTTAGGTGGTAGGTAACGGTTGTAGTGAATACGGGTTTAGCAATTCAGGCGGAGTGACTTAAAACTTTGACTTAGTTAGCCACCACTCATTTGGTAATTAATAAGACAGGTAGTCAAAAAATCCTCCCTTATGGATGGGTTTTCACTTGACCACATATAGCCAACTGAAGCCTACCTATGAGGTAGAAATTCGCAAGCCGAGTGAACCACCTCGGTAGGTGGATTGTGAGAATTTAAGGCCACAGTCGACTGATTGCACCAGTACAAAAACACCGAGATGGCAACTTCGTTCCATGTATTTTTTTCGACTGCCGATTCAGGTAGGGGGGCCACCTCTGGGTATCTGTGCGCCATCATTCTTCCAAAGGTCATTTGGTGGGTGGTAAAACTGAGGTGCCGCCAGCAAATTCCCAACTTGATGCAAAAGATTTATAGCAATTTGCGGCACCAGAGTAGGAATATTAAATCAAAAGTAGAGCCAAAATTGTGAGTAGTTGTTTTACCTTTGATTTTTGGCAAAAAGAGTCTCATACTACAGCTGCTTTAAGATGTTACGCTTATGAATCTCAATTCCAATTTCGCACATAAGTAAAATTACTTTTATTAACTTACAGAAAGTTGGTTAATTTGACCTAAGAAAGTAGGATGACCTGCACAAGTCCCTCCATCCAACCAATCGGAATGGCTTTGATCCCATAGATCGATCGCATTTATCCAATCAGCATAGGTGACGGTGCAGACAAAAAATATGGCCTATTTTATAAAGCCTAGAGATGCTTACCTTGTACATTTTCCGATTAACATTATAAATCACCGCCTGCATACGCGGTAGTCCCTTCCATTTACTTGAATCTAACCCTATTCAAAGTACTACCTGTAGTCACGTGACATTTTGAAGCATTTGAAGATGCCTTCCAAATGATAATTTATTATGGGTCTTTCTTAAAAGAGAAAATAATATTACACCGTCTTCACTAAACTCTCGTAGAATTGCCTATCATGGCACTTCACTTCACTCATTAACACAGCACGTCATAGAGGCCAATTTTATTTTGACCTAAATTAAGCTCAATGTGGACATTCTCTTCCCCATTTTATCTAAAATCTCGTCAAGTGAGCTGTCCGCACCACCCCTATCATTCATCCACAAATCCACTCACTTAACCATTAATGCAGGGAGCTATCCAAACACAGTCTCGTGGAGCACGAGATCTGACGGCCCTGATAAACCCGAATACATTCATCCACAGTTAGTGAATAATGGGGGGGGGGGGATTTGTGTTCCATCGTCTTCAAATGCATTGCATCTACTGAAACACTCGGAAGTGAAGCAAACGCCAACCCCCTGCACACCTAAACTATTAAATAGAACAGAGTAACTCATAAAACTAGACAATTCTTGATTATGAGAAAAATAGTGGGTGGTTGTTGGTGTAAAAGAGGGATTAGAAGTAAATAGACGGGGTTCTGTTAATATTTGCTGGGATCTTCTGCAGCCGGCCTCATTTGTTTACAAGCAAATCGTGAGCATCACAATTACGATGAGTGCGGCCTAAAATGTAAATAAGGAGGGTTTCACAAACAGTTCCCAAATCACCCTATTTACTGACAGGACAGAGCATGGCACTGAAACTCACCTGCAATAGAATAGCGGCAATGGAGATGTACATAAAAGTCATCATATTGTCTGAGGTGAATTTGACAATTTTGTCTCTACATCCTGACACATTAGCAGCTTGGGCTGCCTTAGAATCACACGAAACGGTCGTCATATTGCAGCATTGCAGAGGTAGAGATTTGTTCAGCTTGTCTGCAGAGATGGAGAAAGAGCAAATGAGCACAAGACCGTAAGAGAAGTGGTAAAATATTTCTTAAACGTACCAAAATCGCCGTAGCCATCCATGCCGCAGCAAATTGAATC